CCCCCCACAGTGCTCCAGGTGGCCACAGCGCCAGCCTGGGTGGCCACGGCCCCCCACAGTGCTCCAGGTGGCCACAGCGCCAGCCTGGGTGGCCATGGCCCTCCGCAGTGCCCCAGGCGGCCACGACGCCAGGCGTCCCTTGGTGCCATGGGCACGTCCCTTGGTGCCACATCCCATGGTGCCATGAGCACATCCCTTGGCACCACGTCCCTTGGCACCGTGGCCACATCCCTTGGTACCACATCCTTTGGCACCACATGCACATCCCTTGGTACCACATCCATGTCCCTTGGCACCCTGGGTGCATCCCTTGGCGCCACATCCCTTGGCACCACATCCACGTCCCTTCGTGCCATGGGTGCAGTCCTTGGCACCACATCCATGTCCCTTGGTGCCACATCCATGTCCCTTAGTGCATGGACGCATCCCTTGGCACCACATCCGTGTCCCTTGGTGTCACATCCACATCCCTTGGTGCAGCATCCGCGTCCCTTGGTGCCATGGGTGCATCCCTTGGCGACACGTCCCTTGGCACCACCTCCACTCCCTTGGCGCCCTGGGCGCATCCCTTGGCGCCGTGGCCACGTCCCCTGGTGCCAGCCCTGACGGCGGCCGTGCGCAGGCGGCCGTGCTGGGCCGCTACGCGGAGGCGCTGCGGGGCCCGGCGGCGGAGGGCGGGCGCCGGCGCCTGGCAGCGCTCGCCACCGTGGAGGCGCACGCGCGCGACGTGGCCGAGCGCCTCTACCGCAGCGGCAGCGCCGACGGCGCCGCCTTCGAGTGGCTGGCACAGCTGCGCTTCTACTGGGACAAGGTGAGCGGGGCGGGCACGCGGGCGGGCACGCCGCGGCCGTGCCACCCCGAACGCCCCCGCCACGGCGCCCGCAGGACACCGACGACTGCGTGGCCCGCCAGACCTGCGCCCTGCTGCCCTACGGCTACGAGTACCAGGGCAGTGCGGGGCGCCTCGTGGTGACGCCGCTCACCGAGAGGTGCCCGCACGGCCGCCGCGCGCGCGCCCGCGGGCCCCGGCACCCCGCGCGGCCCCTCATGCCACCGCCGCCGCCGCCGCAGGTGCTTCGTGGCGCTCACGCTGGCGCTGCAGCTGCGGCACGCGGGCGCCCCGGGCGGCCCCGCCGGCTGCGGCAAGACGGAGACGGTGCTGGAGCTGGGCCGCGCGCTGGGCGCCTGGGTGCTGGTGCTGAGCGGCGCCGCGCGCCCCAACGCCGCCGCCCTCGGCGGCCTCTTCGCCGGCCTGGCGCAGGTCAGCGGGCACGGGGACGCGGGATGGGGGACACGTGTGGGACACGGGGCATGGGACATGTGTCGGACACGGGGTGGGAGACACGTGTGGGACACGGGGCATGGGACATGTGTCGGACATGGGGTGGGGGACACATGTGGGACATGTGTGGGACACGGGGTGTGGGACACGTGTGGGACATGGGGTGGGGGACACGTGTGGGACACGGGCTGGAGGACACATGGGGGACACGGGGCGTGGGACACGCATGGGACATGGGGTGTGGGACACGTGTGGGAAACGGGGTGTGGGACACAGGTAGGACACAGGGTGGGGGACACGTGTGTGACACGGGATGGGGGACATGGGGTGTGGGACACGTGTGGGACATTGGGTGGGG